TCCAGGTAGCAGTGAGAGGCAGGGCAGGCCTGCTTGGTAGCTGCTGTGTGTCAGCACTTTGGCTGTGTCCAGGCTGCGGCCGTCCTGTTGCCTTCAAAGGAGGGGGAGGGAAGGGGAAGGGGAGGGGGAGGAGGGAAAGAAGGGAGGGGAGGAGGGAAGGGGAAGAGGGAGGAAGGGGAGGGGAGAACAAAGGGGGAGGAAGGAGGAGAGGAAGGGGGAGGAGGAAGAAGGAAAAAAGAGGAAGGGGAAGGGAGAAGGGGGAGGGGAAAGGGGGAGGGAGAGAGGAGGAGTGCAGTTGTCATGTTTTAGATCTAAAATGTTCTCCATATGCCAGTATGCTCAGAAGAAGGATTCTGGGAAAGTGACGGGACCACAGAGGTTCTAATTCATCCTGAAAGAATGCACTGGTGCGACTGTAACTTGATGGCTATGTTGGGAGGTAACGGAAACAGGAGACAAGGCCCTGCTGTTGGAGAGAGTGAGCACGGGGGCACAACCCTGGGCATGCCAGCTGGCCCCTGACCCTGTGTTCTCTACTCCTTCCCCTCCTTCTGCTTCTTGGTTGCCAGGAGGTGAGACACGGTCCTCCCCTGCCCCTCCTCCACACCCTCCCCCACGGTGCTTCTACCTTGGAGTCACTGCCATGGACTGAATCTGCTAATACCACGAACCAGAATAACTCTGTCTTCCTCTCGTTTTTCTCAAATACTTGTCATAGTGATGACAAGCTGCCCATGACAGTAGCTGGCCCAGCCTTTTTCCACCTCTTTGCTTACAATATCTCAGCTGTTTTTCCAGTTACTAAAGCAGCATGTGCTCGCAGGTGAAGTGTAAACACTATAGAAAGAAATGACTTAGCAAGCAAAAGCCTGCTCTAACCCCACATCCTAGAGAAAGAAAGTCACTCTCAGTGGAGCATTCTCTCATCACCCAGATTAAATTGTTCTAAAGGAGGCCAACCCATACATTACAGAAAGGAAAAGCATTCATTTAACTGAGACGGTCAACAATTACAGCTTCTAGGGGCCACATGGCTGTAAGATGCTGCTCCCACAATGACACAGCCTGAAAATACATAACACCCCCTCCCCTTACCTAACTGTAGCCTTGCTGGGCCCCCGGACAGGAGGCAGGCTTGGTGCTGCAGCCCAGACTCATGCCCATAAGGGTGGGGTACAAGGGTGGTGACCCCTCGGCGCCTGACACATACTCACTTGTCACAGCTTTGAGTGTGGGGCTCAGAATAGACATCAGGATCCCTGCACAGCAGTGTCCCAGCTTGACCTCCGTCCTGGTGCCAGACTGGGCCTCGGTACCATTCTCAGCAGTGTGGGCAAGCATCAGCTCCAGCACTCAGCTGCTCCTTGGCAGGCGGGAGGTGGCTTCCATGTGGCCCTGGGAATGAAGGAGGAGGCCTTCATGAGCTCCACCCACCTCCAGCTCTGGCCTGGCAGGCAGCTGGAAAGGCAGAACCATCCTGCAACCAGGCCAAAAGGCCCCTCTCCTGAGCCTGGGGTTTCTCTCTGCTTCCTGTCTGCTCCAACAATGTTAATCCCGGAAGGCCTGGGACAGTAACTGTGAATCTACAGGTTGGGTTAGGACTTGGGCTTCCTGGACTGTGAATGAATGAACGCTTTTTCCTTCACCCCACAGTCCTGAAGGGCAGATGAGAACCTCGTGGAAGGCAGCCAGTGTTGGACATTTTTTAACATTCTGAGCATTACATACAAGCAACACAAAAAAAACCCCAGATAAAATAGGGTGGTGCCGGGTGTGATAGCGCACATCTGTAATCCCAGCATTCAAGAGGCTGAGGCAGGAGGATTGCTAGAGTTCAAGACCAGCCTGGGCTACCAAGTGAGCACAAGGCCAGCTTGAACTGCATAGTGAGACCCTGTCTCAAAAACAAAAACAAAAACAGAAACACCACAATGTGTACTAAAGCCCTCGACCTGCAATCCACCACCTTAATATTCACTTCATTTTATTATTTATTATCATCATTACTGAGGTTCTTCCTCTCAACTTTGACAACTGGCTATAAACTGATATAAATCTTGTTTTTTTTAGGAGTTTTTTGAGACAGGGTCTTGCTATGGAGTCCAGGCTGGCCTTGAACTTGCAGTGATCCTCCTGCCTCAGCCTCCCAAGTGCTGGAATGATTGGCCTGTGCCACCAAGCCCGCCGCAAACCTTACTTTATGGAGTCCTTTCCTATGTACATGTTTCTGATAATCTTCCCGAGACTGGACACATGTTCTGTGCAAATGTGAAGCTGGAGCAGCCTCCCTGGGAACTCCCCAGCTCAGAGCCATCTGCACCAAGGACGGGGCTTTGCCCAGCACATAGGAAAGGGCTTCATAAAGTGGCTGCTTGAAGCTGAAAACAGCATGAAGTGGAAGGTGGCACCATGGCTCCATGGTTGGATCCCCCAAGCCAGCTGAACCCCAGAATGGGGGACCTTGAGATGTACCCTGTGCAAATGTATTTCTGGGGGGATCCCAGGTCTTCTCTGGCCTCTGCACAGAGAAAAGTGAGGAGCAGAAGACGTGAAACTGCTGGGCTCAACCTGGCTTGTCTCTCCCAGTGCATCTACAGAAGGGGACCTTGGCCCCTCCCTAACTGCTCAGCCTCCTCTATCTCCTTTTCCAGCTGCCCAATGGGTGATAGCAGTCACCCTGGAACTTACCTGTCACCCACAGGAAAGAGCTGTAAGTGCCCATCCAATACCCACCGTCCAATACCCGCCAGAAGCACACTGTGCGCATGGTCTGGGGACTTCAATTTCCCCCAGGGGCACTTCCCCTTCCCTGGGCCCTAGTCACGCAGCAGCACCAACACAAGGCAAAAGAGAAACAGAAACCAAAGACCACATCCTGTAGAAAGTCTGAAGCCTGCAGTCAGCCTGGAAGCTGCTGTGGTCAGAGGC